CCACCTGTTTTTGGATAATCTTCAGCAGGGTTTTGCTTGCATGCAATATTAGTGATATTGTTCAATAACAGAGGAAGTCGAGATATGTGCATTTCTCCTATATTTCATTCCCTTTGCCTCTGGAGTCTCAACTATTTTTCTACAAATGTAGCACTCTTTTTCAAGTTTGTATATTTTGTTTTAAAAAAATTTATTGTGATTTGAGTGAAAGTTTACAAAACAAATTTGCTTTCCATTCAATCATTCATACATATTTTATAACATTAACTGTGATACCCAAAATATAGCTGCATTTCTTCCTCTTCATCCTTGTAAGTTTTATTTACATTAGTCCTTCGATCCCACCTCTTCCTGCCTTCTAATGTCTAATATTCTGCAAACGCTGCTCTTTAAACCTTATGTAGTTGGTTATCAGAGCTCCTTTTAAGTATGAAATGGAAGTGTCACCCTGTACAGGAGTGGGCAACCTAGGACCACCCTTCAGAGGAATAGTCTCAAAGTCCCACCACTCTCGACTTCTTCTGCTTCCCTCAAGCATTGACTATGAAGGTGTGATATCTTTCTCATCTGCATCTGCTGCAGAATAATAGAAACCTCTTAAGAGTATCTGCACATTATAGTCCTTCAAAAACAACCCTAGGATGCAATATGTTGTTCTGTCTGCTACACTCCTCCTCCATACACAGTAAAAAGAAAAGAAATATTCTTCTATTTGCATTATGTTCTATTTTTAACTTTGAACAAAAGTTAATGACAAAGAGGGAAACTGATTTGTTGGAAACAAGGGTAGTCGAGGGATCTATTTCTTTCTTGTAAAAGTTATCAAAATGTTCACGGTATGTTTTCTAAAATTTTTAATAACTATAAAAGTGAGGAGGGAAATGCAATTGGATGCTGTGTCTTCAGGCATTTAGATAGCCCACCAGTTAGAAAGAACTCACTTTGTTTACAGTGAGCCAAACACTGTGTCAGGGAGCTGTGGTACTGTAATTCATAGAGAGGCACACTGCTAACTAACTGGGAGGCCCTGCATTTCTGGCAGTTCTCCCCAAGGAAAAAGATAGGCAGTCTCCTCCTGTTAGAATATATAGCCTTGGAAACTGACTCAACGGTGAGTTGGAACCATGTCAGGGGCAGTGATTTTGTTTCCTTATTAAACATTGTGTTTAGGGTTCTTCTCTTTTTAGTTCATTTAATCTTCTCAACCCATATATATACTGTATTGCTAATGCTTTTTGGCTTTAAATAATATCCAAGCCAAAGCTAGTTGTGTAAGCAAACAGGGATTGTTTTTAACATACAGGAAGTCTGGATGTGGTGGGGGGCGGGGGGTGGGGAAGGTAGGAGTTTAGCTCAGAGTACGTTGAATGCATGTTAATAGTGGTGGGATAATTTGGAATAAAGGATGAGAAGGCCACAAAGCTTGAATAATGGAGTCAATACTATTAAAATGTACATGTAGAAATTTGTGAACTATCTGCTTTGTTATGTGTATATTGCAGTAATAAAAAAAGAAATAGAGATTACACAAAGTTAAACCACCAAAGATTTGTTTTCTTATAATGAAGGCTTTCTACTAGAATAGTGGGATTTCAAAGCATAAGACAATTAGAAACAACATATATTTCTTTTAACAGAGAAGGCTTTCCACAGATTATGATACATCCAAAATATAAATTACAATACAAAATCTAAAATTATGCTTTAGAAAGGTATTTATTCAATCTAAAATTATGCTTTAGAAAGGTATTTATTCTCATACAAAGAGGAATGCAACATTTTGAGTGAATAAAAATCTCATACGTAGAAGCAGTGCAAATTTGATTTTGTGAAAGCAAAAGTTAATTGAGCCATCGGAGAAAATAGACCAGACAGAAATAAAGCAGAATACTGACTAGAAGTGGAGCTGGGTGACAAAACTGGGGGAGACTTTTTACCATTGCAATTTTTGTGCTTTGACTTTTTTTCTTATAATGAATGTGTACTACTTTATAATCATACAGAGCCTGTTTTTTTTGAAAAATATAATGTAAGATGTTTACAGCAGAAAAGTTCTCAAAACATGAAAAAGTTTATAATGTGAATGAAAAATAAGTTCAAGCACAAATACACAAATTATGTCAGTGCAAAGGAGGGCATGATTAATCATGCTGGTGATCTGTGTCAAAAAAAATGGCGCAGGCAATGGTTACCTCGATGGAGCTTTCTCAAGGACAAGAGCCGTAATCTTGACTGACTTTAAGAAGCAGTTTGCAAGGGTGCTTCTCTGAACTTCCAAAGTTAGGGAGACCTGCATTAAAATCCTGTTTTTGCCATTCAGTAGTTATATGACCTTGAGCAAAAGTCCTTAATTTCTCTGAGTCCCAAATTTCCTCATTTTAATAATGTCATTGTTAAATTAACAGCTTCTTTTTAAAGGCAGTGAGAATACAAGATAGGGCTCCTGGGATCAAGAAACTAGTGTGACGGGAGCTCTGGTGGCCTAGTGGCAAGAAGCTGCCCTGCAATCCCAAAGGCACAAGTTCAAATCCACCAGATGCTCCACTGGAGAAGAGACAATCTTCTCCTATACCAGGTGGATCCAATTCGATGGTACACAACAAGAAAGAAAAAAAAACCCCAACAAAACACCAAAACCAAAATAGTGCATGTGAGGTGGTCAGTGTAGAACAGGCTGGCTGCAAAGACGTTCAAAGGCTGCAGAAGTCACTAGAATGGTGAACCCTGGAGAAGAGCTGGAATGGGAGATCTCAGAAAGGCTCATGTGATCTCAGAAAGATACATGTTCTATGTACTGCAAAGAACAAAGAAATCTGTCTTGGAGGAAGTGCAACTCGAGTGCTTCTTAGAGGCAAAGATGGTGAAACAGTCTCACATACTTTGGGCCAGTTGTCAGGAGGGGTTAGTCCTTAGAAAAAGACATGCTGGGAAAGGAAGAGGAAAAGTGAGGAAGACCCTCAGTGAGATGGATTAATACAGCGACCAAAACAATGGGTTCAAGCAAGTCAGAGATGTGAGGATGGAGCAGGGTAGGGCAGAGTCGGATCTCCTGTTCATAAGGTCTCTGTGGGATGTAGTTGACTCACAGCAGCTAACAAAAGAACCCCATCTCTGAAGAACTTACCATCATCTGCGTGAGACAGCCTCATGCACTCCAAGGCTACTTCTGGCTAAGTGACAAGCTTTTCTCCTCAACAGACATTTAGAAGTCTAAAGAGTTTAATCAACCCAAATTACAAGGTCTACTTAATTCCAGGGATTGATTTGAATATTGCTGCCTTGAGAGGAAGAGAAGTAGGCCTTCCTAAGGAGAGAATTTCCTATTCGAAGGAACATTCTCAAAAGCTTGTCCTTGGCAGCCCATTAATTATATTTCATCTTGACAGATCTCATATATAGTTGTTATATCTTTAGGGGGGAAAGAAGGTGTTGGGTGATTAATTGGTTGATAGTGTATGTTAATTGGATGCTAATTAAATTTAAATTTAATTCATATTTGAAACACTTGATTTGACGCAGGACCAGAAAATTAGAATATTCAAGCGTCTTGAAGGAACTTGTCTTTCTATCTGTCACCTTCATATGTCTATTGACACTCTCTCCTTGTTTACAAACTTGTTTTTCAAGAGAAGAAATCAGATGGTTCTTAGTGCTTCCAGCTGTAATAGGAAGTGTTGGTTCTTGCAATACATAAATATTTAATTGCTTTACTGGGGGAAAATGTATCTATCTCCACTCTGTTACTGAAATTTGTTCTGAACAAGTCTTGTCAGGCTGGAAATCTGTGCTGTTTGCTTCCTTCTCTCTGGCTTGATAAGTGAAGAAACAGCTCCAAAGAGAGGCTCTGGGCTGGATCTCTAGAATGCGTGGGAATGAGAGGCTGGGTTAGGGGTCAGAAAACCAGAAGGCAGGCAACAAGTCACTCATGACTCTAAGAGTGTGTGGGAAATTCTCTACTCCCCTTATGAGAAAATTCCCTGTGGTCAGCTCCCTGGGGACAATGCTAAGATGTCCAACCATTCTTTTAACTGAGAAAGGATGGGAGGCATCTCCACCCGGCACTGTGATGGGAGCTTGGGTAATCATTTTCCTTTGCTGTAAGTGGGTCTGCCTGATCTGATAATTTGTAGATTTCCTTGGAGACAGGGTACCAGAACTTGGCACTGGGAAGTTATCTTTGACCTATTTCTGCTCTGTGGATAAAGAAAACTGGGAAGTATGAGAGAAGGTGCCAATGCTTTAAAGATTAACTGATCAGAGTTTGTGCCTTAGAAAAGTTGAATTCTTCTGAGCCTCGATTTCCTCCTCTCTAAAATGGGACAGTAATACTAATCTCGGAGTGGCAGTATAAGGAGTACTTGAGATAATAAATGTTTGTAAAAGCAGCAGCGTCCACAAGATGCTCAATACCTGGCTTGTGCTGCTGCCCATGAACCAGCACCTGTATGTTAGCTCTGGCTCATAGTGACCTCACGTGCATTGGAGAAGAGCTGTGTTCCACACGGTTTGCCATGGTGGATTTTCCAAGGCACGACCAGGTGACTCAGACCACCAACCATTCCGTTGGCAACTGGCTTTAACCTTTTACAGCATATCTCTATAACTTACACAAGTACAAGCAAATCAGAGATGATGGGAATGGCAAAGGGTAGGGCAAGGTTCAGATCCATTGTGCCTAGGCTCACTGTGAGTCATGGTCAACTCGACAGCATCTAACAACAACAGCCACCACCTGGGGCCTCTTCCACCACCATTACTGCCACCGGCCTCACCTTGAGTCCTGCAAAATGCCTGATTCTGGTGGTTGCTTTTGCTGCTGGTTTGGAGCATGTGCATGCGTGTGAGCATCCATCTGTGTATACGTGCACGCATGTGCATGGATACGTGCACGTATGCACGCATGCATGCAGGTACAAAGCTTGCCTTTGACGGCTGTGCTGTCTCAATGCTGGCAGCTGAGGTTTGACGCTCCTTCTCCCACTAACCGGCTCTTTCCACAGCTGTCCTAGAAAAGTCTCTAGAAAAGAAAGCTGGCCGGAACTATGCGCCTCCAGGCAACAGGAAGCTGATCTATTTTATCGATGACATGAACATGCCTGAGGTGGATGCCTACGGGACAGTGCAGCCCCACACAATCATCAGGCAGCATCTGGACTACGGCCACTGGTAAGAGCAGCACGCAGAGGGACGGGGACCAGGGGCTGGGGGTGAGGCTAGGGCAGAGGCGACCACTGTCACGTGGAGGAAGTCGCAAATATAAGCTCAGCTCCATTGTCGGATGTGCAACCCCAAGGTAAACCAGGACTCCCCCCTTGCTCTGGAAAGCTCTTTCACAGTGACACTAATATTCACATGAATAGTTAGAGCAGCAGTAGCTACTGAGCTCTCAGTCGAGGGGGAAAGTTTTCATTTCTTTTGCCAGGGCTCTTTCAGAAGTGGCTTGCCTTCAAATCACCTCTGACTCAGAACAAGTCCACGTGCTTGTCAGAACAGAAGGGTGCTTTGTGGGGTTTTCAAATATGTGACCTTTTGAAAGCAGATCTCCAGATAGTTCTTTCATGGCATCTGTGAGTAGACTTGAACTTCCAACCTTTTAGTTTGCAAGCAGAAACATTACCCATCTCCACCACCCAGGGATCCTATAAAAACCTTCATCAAATCCACCAAGCCGGATTGACTACTGCCAGCAGTTGTCCGCTTACACAGAGATAGCGCCTAAAATGCTGCACAGAGCCCCTGTGTTTGCAGGCAGGGGCTCTTAATAACTTTCGCCTCTTCAGAGCAGCTCCTGGGATCTGACATTACCTGTTACAGTTGAATAGTTTATAATGTCAAATGGTCTGAACTTTCCAAGAGAGAAAGAAAAAAAGTCAGTGATCCGAGACAAATTTGACTCTCTTTTCTACTTCATCTGAGTGAAAGAATGGCATGTGGAAAGCGGGAATTTAGAAGACTTCTAGTTACAGTGGTAACTTGAATTACCTCATGATTATTCCTAAAGTATTCTTTTTAATTGAGATTTGTTTCCTGGGCTTTTTAAAATTAATTTTAATGAAAGTTTACAGAGACTTAGGATTTCCATTCATTCATTGTTGTACTTTTAATTGATATTTTAATGTAAAGTTTATAAAGAACTTGGGTTTCCAATTGTTCATTACTGCACATTTTCCTCCCCGCCCCCTCACCTCAGTTTGCTTTTTTTCTTTGGGGAAAAATATCTTTCGTTGTTATATAGTGTCCCTCCCAGACCACTTTACCATGCAGCTTATTCTCAATTCTTGTCATGCCAACAATACCTAATTATATATTCCTTTTATACAGTTCTCTCTCTTGTCTGTTTCAATGCTGTGTAGATTATTTATCCCTCTTCTCTCAGTTTCTCCCCCAGACCCCATGTCAGTCCTGTTTTATAACAGTGGCATTATGCTGTATTTGTTGTTGTGGTTTTTTTTGTGACTGAATATTTCACTCAGCATAATGTCCTCCAGGGTCACCCATTTTGTATAATAATTTATGAGTTCCTTGTTTTTCAATGCCGCATACTAATCCATTGTGTGAATATACTGCAGCCTGTGTGTAGTGTGCAACTGTCCATACTCTCCACACCATTATTAGAGCAGGTGCACTATGTGGGGAAACCAGGGTCAAGCTGACCAGTTTTACTCTAAATTCACAAACCCTAGGTTTTTGCTTTTACAGCCCAAGCCCAAGCCAAACCCATTGCCCCTGAGCTGATGCTGATTCATAGTGACCCTGTAGAACAGATTAGAACTGCTCCAAATGGTTTTCAAGGCTAATTTTTTTAATGTATTATTTCTTGTTTTAATTTTTTTTCATCACTTTGTGTTTCTTTTTTTTAATGGTGATTAGTTTTATTTTTTATTACATACTCTTAATTGGTTTGGGGGAATTTTTTAAAACTTTTTATTAATTTTAATTAACATTTACAGAGATTTTGGGTTTTCATTCATTCATTGTTGCACTTTTTTTCTTTAACCTCCTCCTCCAAGTTCTCTCCTCTCTTTGAAAAGCAAAAGATAAACTTCTTCGTTGGTATACAATCCCCCCGACCCTGCCCTGCCCACCCCCCCACGTCCCAAATGCACTCCACTCACATTGTGTTTCTTATGATCCGTCCCATACATTATATCTCCAAGGCTACACTCTTGACAGAATACCACAACTTTCTCCTACAGAGTGATTCAGGTATTCAGACCACTGACCTTTCACTAAGCCGCCAAATACTTAACTGCTGGCACATCAGAGTTCCTGCTTTGAGGTTCATAAACCTTAACTTTGATATAATAACTTCCTGAAGATTGCTTCATATTTCCTTAATGTGTTTTATTTCCACTCACAGAAATGTCTGTTTCTTTTTTTCTTTTTTCCTTTACATGCCTCATCTCTCCTCAAACCCCTCACTGACCCACCTCTGCTGTTTAATCTTCAGAGTTTACACAGACACTATCTCAGTGTCTTGCTTCTTCATCTCCTATGACTTAACATGCATCCTTCTCTGCCTCAAACCTCCCATTGCATCTTCTTGTCATTGGTAGTTATTATCTAGTCCGCTCCAACCTAGGACAATTTAGCCTTATTTATAACTGAATAGAGTATTCCCTGCTTGTCTTTGGTACGTTTGAGTCCATTGATGTGTTTGCTTGAATTTCTTCATGATTGTTGGCATATTTGAGTCCATTGTTGCAGTTCTTGTGTGAATCATTCTCATTGAGGGTTTTCCTCATTTCCACTGACCCTCTACCAAACACGATGACTTCTTCTTGGTATCGTTTTTTCTGGTGATTTGTTTAAAGTGAATGAGTATAAATCTTGTCATCCTCACTTCTAAGGAATACTCTGATTGTATTTCTTCTAAGACTGGCTTGTTCATTCTTTTGCCAGCTCAGTACATTCACTATTCATATCCAGCACTTCCAGATACATCTATTCTACTTCTGTCTTCCTTTTTCTGTTTTCTATTGGGTTTTCATTGGGTAATGTTCAAAAGTAGATTGTCAGGACTTTTTTCCTAACCTGTTTTTCATCTTCTGAGACTAAGTACAGGCTTTTCTGAAGCCTGACTTCCATGATCCTGCTGATATTTGAGGTGGTGTGGTTTCCAGGGTCACAGCAGCACATAAGACACCACACGGCAGTAAACTGATGAATGGATGGCAACCTGTTATATCTTCTCTATGGCTTAACCATCTATCACATCTGATTCTACTCTCCCTCTGCTACTGAGTTTCTCACTTCTTCCTTCTTCAGTCCTTTTTCATGTCTGGTGTGCTCATTCACATCAATAGTTGAGCTTACCCAAATCTCTTCACAAAAGGTCAATGCAACCCCTAGATGCTCCCTATGAGAAATGCAAGGCAGTCTGCTCCCAGAAAGTTTCACGGCCTCACAAATACAAGGGGCAGTTCTACTCTGTTCTGTGAGCCAGAATTGACTCAATGGCTGTGGGTTTATTGTTTGTTTTCTAATTTTTTCACTCTTGTTTCTTTGCCTCTCTTTAGCCATATTTTCTCTGCTTTGTTTCTGCTTCCTCATTTCTCATTTCAGAATCCGCTGCTCTTTGGCTTTTCTCCCTCCATCTTACTAAACTATTCCTGCTAAACTACTCATCAGATCATTATTTTAAATCAAATGGCCATTTCAAGTTAGTGTCTTTCTTCTTCTCTTTGCAGCACTCAGTGTGGATGACTGTGCTATCCTTTTGGAAATATCGGCTTCCTTTTGCTCCCGGGATACTGGCCATCCCCTGATCTTGCTCTTGCTCTACCTTCTCTGTCTGTTCTGCTGATATTATTTCCATAGTGGTCTTTGGAAAATTTTTCTTCTCTCAATCCCACCATTGGATCTGTTGTTGTTGTTGTTAAGTACCATCCAGTGGCTTGTGCCTCATAACGACCCTGTGTACAACAGCTCTGAACCCTATTCTATCCTGAGCCAAACTTATCGTCTCTGACACACCTACCCCCATTACCCCAGTCACTGAGTAAATCCATCTCATTGAGGGTCTTCCTCTCCTGCGCTGTCCCTCCACCCTTCCAAGCACGATGCCCCTTTCCAAGGACTGGTTCCTCCTTGCAGCATGCCCAAAGTATGTCAGACAGAGCTTCAGAATCCTTGCCTCTAAGTAGCAACCTGGTTTCACCTTCTCTAGGATGAACCTGTTTGTTCTAGTAATCCACAGTATGTTCAGTACGGTTCTTCAGTATCACAGCTGAAAGGCATCAGTTCTTCCCTCATCCCTAGTCATTGTCTGGCTTTCTAACACATGACAAGTAATTGCAAAGACCATGGCCTGGATCAGGTGCACCACAGTCTCCAGACTGACATTGTTTGCTGCTCTTTGGTACTTTGGAGAAGTCTCTGCCAGCAGACTTTCCCAATGCAATTCATCTTTTGGTTTCCTGGCTGCTACTACCAAAAATGTTGATTGTGGAACCAAGCAATATGAAGCTGTCAACAATCCCAGTCTCTTTACCATCTGTCATGATGCTGCTAATCAGCCCAGTGGTGAGAATCTTTATTTTCTTGACGCTTCAATCCATATTGAAGGCTGCAGTCCTCAAGCACTTCAGGTCTTCCTCAGTTTCAACAAGCCATGTTGTGTCATGTTCATAGTACAGGAGTCCAGTCCTGATGCCACACTGCTCCTTATAGAGCCCAACCTCTCGGATGATCTTTTCTGAAAAGATTGAAAAAGAATGGAGATACAGCTCATCCCTGAGTACACTCTTCCTGATTTTATACCATGCAATGTTTCCTTGCTCGGTTCTGATTACTGCCTCCTGTTCTGAGTATAGAGCACAGGCACAACCAAATGTTCTGGCATTCCCATTTTTCTCAGAGTTAGTTAGCCACAGTTTATTGTGATCCACACAGTCAAATACCTTTGCCTAGTCAATGAAACACAGATAGACATTCCTCTGCTACTCTCTGCTTTTAGCCAATATTAATCTAATATTAGCTGTAATAATCCATGGCCTCTTCTAAACCTAGCTTGTACATCTGACGGTTCTCTGATGATCTGTCAGATGTATTGTTCCATTCGTTTGTGGTTCATTTTCAGCAGACTTTTGCTTGCATGTGATATTAATGATATTGTTCAACAATTTCCATACTCTGATCACTTTTCTTTGGAATGGGAATAAATATAGATCTCTTCCAATCAGTTGTCCAGGTGGTCATCCTCCAGATTTCTTAGCACAACATCCAGGGCAGTGTCTGTTTGTTGAGATATGTCAGTTGGCATTTTGTCAATTCCTGTGGCCTTGTTTTCTGCCAATTCCTCTGAGCAGCTTGAACTTCTTCATTACCCCAGGCTCTTGCTCATACATTGTTTCATGAAATTCTTCTGTGTCACTCAGTTCCTTTTAGCACAGTGACTCTGTATACTCCTTCCATCTTTTCTTAATGCTTTATGCATCATTTAATATTCTACCCAAAGCATGATCTAGTTTTGTTTTCTTAGTTACCCACACACAAGGAAGGCATCCTTGGAAGCCAGCTGCCTGGGCCCTCACACACCTCTCATCCATGGCTATTGACTGTTCCAGGTATGATAGGAACAAGCTGTCCCTGAAGGAGATCATGAATGTCCAGTATGTTACCTGCATGAATCCCACTGCAGGCAGCTTCACCATTAACCCACGGCTCCAGGTAAGTCAGGATTCAGGCCACCTTTATCCTCAGCACTTGAGTATGAGTGTTACTTTGGCCCTTAAATCTTCCCAGACTCTCATAACGATTATACTGGAAGCTGATTTGCATTGCTAGCAAACAGATACTCCTTGACCCAGACTCATGAAGCCTGTAAAGCTAGGAGAGGTCATATTGTTGTTTTGTGTATCAATGAGTTGGAACTGTAACTGACCCTCCAGTGTATTTTCAGAGAGCCTTTTCATATGGAATTAAAACTTAAATTGAGTTTACAGTCTAGGGAATTAAAGGCTTTGCTTGAACTTTGGGCCAAGATGAGTAGCATGAGATTGTAGGAAGAGAGCTAAACTTGGGTTCAAGTAGAATTCTATACTGAGCATTCACATGACCTTGGGAATATAATTTCTTCTCCCTGAAGTTCTGTCATATAAAAATGAAAGCGTTAGATGTCACTATACTGCTAACTTTGGCCCAAGATTCAAGCAAAGCCTGCCGTACCCTAGACTGTAAAATAAATTTAAGTTTTAATTCCGTATGAAAAGGTTCTCAGGAGGAACCAGTCATTGGAGAGACACATCATGCTGGGAAAGGTGGAGGATCAGAGAAAGAGAAGGAGATCCCCAACAAGATGGAATAACACAGTTTTTAGGGTCACCAATCCATTGCAATTTACTGTAGCTAAAAAAAAAATATTAAACTAACAGCACCAACAAAAATGTTGTATTAACACAGTGAGTACCACACTGGACTTGAGCAGGACAGATTGTGAAGCTGGGACAGGACAGGCCGAGGTTCAGATCTGTTGTACATGTTGTTGTTATGTGCTGTTGAGTCACTTATGATACATGGTGACCAGTGTACAACAGCTCTGAACCCTCTACTATCTTGAAAAAACTTCATTGTTTTTGACACACCTACTCCCGTTACCCCAGTCACTGTTGTTCATAGGGTCACTATAAGTCATAGTGGGCACATTGGCACTTAACAATGAGAAATGTGACTAGAAGGTAGACCTCAAAGGCTTCAATGCATATGTTTTTCATAAGAATTCTTGTTTATTTTATCCAAACTTAGAAAAAGTTATTTTTATTCTAATAAAAGGGTTGTCCAGTTCATTATCCCTCGCTCATTCCTTCTTTGTTTGCTTGTGCAGCGACACTTCAATGTGTTTGTGCTCTCCTTTCCGGGAGCAGATGCCCTGTCCACCATCTACAGCACTATCTTATCTCAGCATCTCAAACATGGAAACTTCCCAGCATCGCTGCAGAAATCTGTCCCCCAGCTGATCAATCTGGCCCTCACCTTTCACCAGAAAATTGCCACCACATTCCTCCCTACTGCAATCAAATTCCACTACATCTTCAATCTCAGAGATTTCGCCAGCATTTTCCAGGTGAGTCCATCTGATGTGAAACTCCTCAGAGGCTTTAGTGATGAACCTGACCCTCTCATTCTTATTAAAATAATACTTGAAGCCAAACTCAGGCAAACACAAAGTTTATAAGGAGTTGTAAATGGAAATAGGTAAGCGGAGGGCTGTGGGCTTCATGAGGAAAGACTTCAGTATATTAAGAGTTTTGTATGTTGTTGGTGTTTTGTACCATCGAGTCAAAACTGACACATAACTGCCCCTTCAGCAGGTTTTCAGAGGCGGATAACCACAGGGGAGCCGATTGCCCATCCTCCTGTGCAGCAGCTGGTGAACTTGAACCATGTGCCTTTAGTATTGCAGTGCAGATTCTTAACCACTAGGCCACCAGAGTTTTGTATATAGATTAAATTTTTCTCAGGAAATATAATGCATTCCTGGGTTGTTTCCTTTGGGCTGGAAAAGTCTCAATATCTTGAATATAATGATTCCAGAATGCCTAGGAAGAGAAATGGTAGAAATTAATGAAGTTATTAAAAAAAAACAAAACCACCACACACCACACACCACCCAACTATTTTAGTCTCTAATGGTATGCCCAATATTCTTAGGATGAAAACAATATCCTATAAAGCATTCAAAGGTAGCTCTGCTGTCAGGTGAGGATATTTTCCCACCCTAAACAATTCCCCAGGTCACATGGACTCTATGACATTTTGACATGGACTCAAATTCTCTTTCCAAGTTCAACTCAGAAGAAATGATGTTATAATTCCAAAGAAACCATCTGCAAACTCTTGCAATGATATCAGTGCTTCAAATTCCATGTAGAAGTCATTTTCATAGTATTTCAACTCCTCTCTTACACACTGATGGCTGTCTCTGCACCTTGCTTCCAGCTGATGGAGCAGCCACTCTCTGATCTCTAGAGGACAATGCACGCTGAGGTCTGAGCCCTGGGCCTCTCTCCTCAGTCTTTTCACTTGTGGAGCCCGCAGCTCCTCTGTCATGGAGTCCTCTCCAAAGCAGCACTAAGTTGTTATTATTGGGGAAAGATGTTTTTTACATAAAGCAGTGTCATAGGGAAAGTTCCAAGCATAGTGGTGGGGGAGTAAGACCATGACCCTATAATGAAGCAAATATGTTGTTGATACCTGCCATCAAGTCAGCCCCAAAATTATGGTGATCCACCCAATGGAAATAAACACTGCCCATGCAATATCAGTCATTTAACTGAGTGAAGAACACCTTTCCAACCATCTGTTCTGCCCCTCTTGTCTGTATTTCTGTTGGGCAGAAAAAGTATTTGATGTTTGAAGCAGCATGAGAGACTCATCTCAATGCCTGTCTGACCCCAGGACTGGAGGGAATAAGTTTTTGCTTAACCATTACTAAACCAAACCCAATCCCTGCCAATGGGTTGATTCTGATTCATAGAAACCTTTCATCAGATTCCTAAGGCTGTAAATCTTTACAGAAGAAGAGAGCCCACTTTTATTCCAAGGAGCAGCTGGAGAGTTCAAACTGATGACTTTTTGATTAGCATCTGACATGTTCCATTTTACATGTTTATTGAACATTCCACCATCTCTCTGTCAGTTTACAGTTCTGTAGTGAGTTGCCTATTGCTACAATGCTGGAGTCAAGTTCTCTGCATGGTGTATATGGTCTGTGATGATCTGGGAGCCAAAAGGTTTGCCAGTTTGAACCTGACCGATAGTCCTGAGGGAGAACCAGGCCTGGTGATCTGCTTCCATAGATATTACAGCCAACCCTACCCTACAGCCAAATGTCAAAATGATTACATAAGGAAATATGAAATAATATCTATAATGCTGGTAGCTACAGTGCCAGGATGTCAAACACCAGTGGGGTCCACCATTGTTGTTGTTTAAGTATGCCACAAAGTCAAGACAACTCAGCAGTGACCCTCCACAGATTTTCAGGGACAATAAATCTGATGGTAGTTGGCTGCTCATCTTTCTCCTGGAGATTCAAACCACATGGCTTTGGGTTGATAGCACAATTCCTTACCACTAGGCCACCAAATATGATCATGAAGAAAGTGGCAAGCTGTATGTTGTCCTGTTATATGTAGAGTTGGCATAAATTTGAGCTGCAAAATAATGTTAATTAGGAAAGATTTGGATAGCACAGTCAAGTCTTTTTGTTGTTGTTAAGTGCTATCAAGTCATAGATGACCCATAGCGACCTTATGAATGAAAGTCTTGAGCACAAAACTTTCATCTTTTCTCCAAGTTCATAGAGTTTCTGGAGGCAAACTTTTTTTGGAAGTGGATGCCACTCCTGCTTCAAAGCCTGTTTTATTTGGGAGATTAAAAAAAAAGAGGCCCGTGGGCCCAAAAGCCTTTTGAAATATGAGGCCAAATCCAATCATCTCACACCCTATTGTGAACAAAAGCCATACCCCAATCTCAACCCCAAACCAGAAAACACACCTAAGCAGAATCTAAGTGAAAGGTATTAATTTTGTTTGTTTGGGGCTTACGTACTTTGGTCATGTGGCCAGGAGAGACCAGTCCCTGGAGAGAAATATCATGCTTGGAAGGGTGGAGGGACAGCACAGGAGAGGAAGATCCTGGATAAGATGGATTGATATAATAATGAGAGTAGGTTTATCAGAGACAGTGAGACTGACTGGCTTAGGATAGGACAAAGTTCAGAGTTGTAGGCAACTAAAATGGAACATAACTTTATTTTTGTTTTATATTGGTTTGCATGCAATACTCATGTACATTGTCTATCATTCATGTACTCTGTGTTTCACTCATTCTTACATTCACATTGTGCTTCAAATGATCACTTGTGTACATTATGTTCTATAAATTTAATCACCATGGATCTATGCCTACTATGACCCCATCTTTTCAGGTACCCCCACCCCTCTCCTGTCACGATCCTCTGTAAGATATATATAAAAGTTCAAAAGAGGAAGGAAAGGGGACAAGAGGGTGGGAAGGGGAGGAACTCACTAGGTGAAAGGTTTTTTTAACCTCAAGTCTCTCTTAAATGTCATACAGTATGAGGTGGAGTGTTGCCATTGCAAATGAAAAATAAGAGTTCTTTGATCAAATTCTCATTGTGCCAAAAAGCAAAACTAAAGGGAGACAACTCAGTGAGATGGATTAATACAGCGGCCAAAACAATGGGTTCAAGCTCTTCTTACTAGTTCTAGCTCTGGTCTACACAAACCTTTATCACCTGGAAATCCTGATCATCATACAGCAATCTTGTGGGTTAGACATTATTCTAATTTAACTTACATAAGTTATCAGCTAGTATGCAATATCATGAGTAGTCAGTGATATATACAAGGTTGTACTAAGCTCGTTATGTCTAGTAAGTTATTTTATTTGATCCTCACAATATGCAGTGTTGTTGTTGTTATATTCCTTCAAGTTGCCTATGATACATAGCGACCCTATATACAGCAGCTCTGGATGCTGCTCTATCCTGAGCCAACCTTATTGTCTCTGACACACCAATCTCCTTTACTGCAGTAACTGAGTCAATCCATCTCATTGGGGTCTTCTTCTCCTATGCTGTCCCTCCACCCTCCCAAACATAATGTCCCTCTCCAAGGCCTGGTCCCGCCTTGCAAGATGCCCAAAGTATGTCCAACAGAGCGTCAGAATCCTTGTTTCCAAGGAGCAGCCTGGTTTCACCCTCTCCAGGATGAACCTGTGTGTTCTCCTAGCAGTCCATAGTACATTCAGTACTCTTCTCCAGCACCACAGCTCAAAGGTATCAATTCTTTTTATATCATCCCTAATCATTGTCCAGTTTCTGATGCATAGCACATAATTTCAAAGACCGTGGCCTGGATTGGTTGCACCTTAGTCTCCAGACTGACATCATTGCTGTTCAGTACTCTGGAGATATCCCTGATAGCAGACTTCCTGATGCAATTAGCAATTTGAGTTCAAGGCAAAGGACTTTTCCTGAGAACTGCCTGAGATAGGAACCTTCCCTAATTCTAGTACCTAGGACTGAACTTAGAGACTCCTAATCTCAAGAGAGACTGGCCCAGCAGCAAGAGGCACAAGACATCTGAAATCACAGAAGCACAGAAGGCTTGAGACCTAAGCCTCATATCAAGGGCTGGATTGGAGGAGACAGAAATTGAATAGGGTAGGCATGAGTAGAAGAGAATGCTGGTGGAGCAGGGAAAGGGACAGGTCAAGACACACTTGCCTAAAAAAAAAAAAAAGACACACTTGCCAAGTGTGGGGAACAACACTGAATCTATTAGTTGCTTCTATAATTGGGAAATGTCTTTTCACCTGCTTCTCTCTGTAAAATGCTGCTATGTCAGATAATGTTTGAAATCTGAGCATTCAAATTAAGATGGACTTGGAATAAGGCTTGATCATCTATTTCCATAATAACAGGCCTTCAAAAACCCTGTGTACAGTAGAATACACTTAGAGTAGACTAGCAGATATGGCAACTGAGGCTGACCCCTCAAATATTAAAGCACAAAGGAGAAGGAACAGTTGTAAGCATACACTAGAGTTTGGTATATGAAATGTGAAAAGAATGAATGCAGGAAAATTGGACATTGTTAAGAAAGAAATGGAGCACATAAGGGGACCTCTGGTGGCCTAGTGGCAAGAAGCTGCAACTACAATCCCAGAGGTGCACGGTTCGAATCCACCAGATGCTCTGCTGGGGAAGGAGGGGCAATCTCCTCCTGTACCAGTCAGATCTGATTTGACGGTACACGCACACAAAAATAATAATAAAATAAAAAAAATTAAAAAAAAAGAAATGGAGCACATAAATATTGACATACTAGGTATTGGGGAAATGAGATGGATTTGGCATGGGCATTTTGAACCAGGTGATCTACTATACCGGAGATGAAAATGTGAAGAAAAATGGGGTTGCTTTTATAGTTTAAAAAGTAATTTCTAGATCCATCTTGAAATAAAATGTGAATGACAGGATAATATCCATATGCATATAAGGAAGTCCCGTGAATACCACTTTCATGTAAATAA